AATCCGAAGCCTTTGATATTCTATGCACGTCAGTAAAATACTGTATTTTGCATACGGTTAAAAATATCGAGCTGTTCGCGAGATACACAAAAGTCTCGAAAGCTAGTGTCAGACTATGCGTATTCGCAATGTGTGATTCATGAATTATATTAAAGTAATCTGATTGGTCGAATTTTGCAATTGTTATCCAGGAATTATGAGCGAATCGCAAATAGTCTGGCGCCAGCTGAAAAGATACAAGATATAACGTAGATTTGTAGATGATTAAAGCGAGTTAAAATGATTCAGATGACTGTTGATTCGCAAGCACGCACGGCTCTAATTAAATTCTCGGCTTAATATGATATTGCTAATGAATAATTAAACGATATTATCATGTCAGCAATGATCGCGACATAGCTATTCACATCGGGAATCAAACGAAATAACATGTGTATGTGAAGCTGACATATTATTTCATAGAAGATCATAAATAATTAAGAGTTCTGGCTTTATTTTTAATAGTTCTAGAGTTTTTGATAATTGGAGCAAATAGTTCTGACAATTAAACAAAAAAAATTCCTAAGGATAAACTGATATACCAACTTAACGCAGCATATCACGTTGTCCTACATTTTTCTTATCAATAACTGTGCAAAAAATATTTATAATTTTGCCACTAAATAAATATTTACCACTAATAAATAATAGAAATAGGAAGTTTGTTTTCTTCCTATTTTATGAATATTTTTTTATAATATATAAATCGTCTTATATTTTTTCAAACAAAATTGCGGTTTAAGTTTGTCAAAAGCTAAAAAACTTTTTATAAAATATAAAATTTAGTATTTTCGATTAAATAAATATATCTCAATAGCTTCTCTTTATTATTAAAAAAGAGAAAATTTATATATTCTAAATATATATGACTTCAATAGATGATAAAGCGCAATAATTATCTTAATAGAAAGCTTTGAAATAGTTGGTGCCAAATGACTGACGTTCACTACACTGAAAGGAGAATTCAAATTAAGCGTAATTATCGAACGTAATTTATAACCTGTGCGACAGAATTGTAAAAGTGAACGTGAAACACACATACATAGATGATGAAAAATCACTGAGCAATTATTATCACGTGGCTATTATCGACCAATTAACTCGAGAATGATCATGCTATAAGCACTGTGCTCGAATAAAGATCAGTTTCCTTTCGCACCATTCGATTATAAAAATTATATCTTTGATTATAAAAATTATTTAAATTACTATCTATCGCCCTAATCCATTAGAATATACAGACAGAATCAATCCTGATTTTTTTCGTTTCAGAATCATGAATGAATCATGATTCTTCGATCTGCATATTTATTGATCAATTAAAAGGCAATAATTGATAGATAAATAGATGTTGTATGAAATTATACGTTGCGAGTTGATCAAATTGCAAGTCAATTATCCATTTAATTTGAATTATACAATTATATATTTTCATTCGAAGCAAAGTAGCTTGTTCAATACAATGGAGCACGAATTAACGAGATAATGCCACACGCTTAGAGAGACCGAGCTTTTTAAGAAGCAATTTCAACCTCTTCGCACAATGACAGAAGGACCCAAAGGGATGTGCCGCAGCATTTGCAAAGGGAAACAAACGAGAATGAAGAGACATAATTAGTACTACTATACACAGAGACGAAGCTTGGTCAAACCAACTAACGAGCTTTTGCATTCACGCGTCTTCTGTCAACGGCGATGCAGTTTACATTGGCGGCGCAGACGAGTACATTACGCGAACACAACGAAAGGTATGCTCCGAAAACCTCACATCTCTATCTGTATTCGTCTCTCTTTCTCTTTCGCACGCTTTTGTCACGTGTATGTACCATCATGTAACATGAGATAAAGAATCGCACACAGTGCGCGAATGCATATAAGGGAAATGCATCGGTGAGCCAAGTTATGTGTAAATTTATGATGCAAGTCGTCTCGAAGCTATACGAATATTGATTAAAGAGATTGTGTAGAACGTTTGAGTGTTTACAAACCAAATTGCCTTTACTGCAAATTTTATTTAAAATTAATTTAAGAAATATATTGTCATCGGTTTTTTACAACTTTTACATTTTTTCACTCGCGAGTAAAAGATATTTTCAATCAAAATGTTTTGAGATATTCTATTGTAATTTGTAATTTGTATTCGTTTTTAAAATTAAATAGTTTAATAGGTCGTTTATTTAGGCTACAATCATTTGCATAGCGATTTAATTGTTCGACTAATATACAATTGTATACAAGAATTATATACATATAGCGATAGAGTGTGTGTGTATGAATGAGAGAAATTGCATCGTAATGCGTTATATAAAGTGCAAAGTGAAGCAGAAAAGAAAATGATGAAGCTCGCGATCTATTCGCGATCTATTCAGGCTCGTTCGATGTCTATCAATCATTGTCACCGACACTGCGATGCTCCAAACCGGGATTAACTTTTTAGAGAAAGGCAGAAAATTTCACGCGAAAGTTATTCGGCCGTGCTCGAATGCAAGTGACTACTCGATTTTTCTCGACTGAAACTTTTCTCAGAAATATCGTGAAATTTGGAAATCAATATTCATCTAAACTGTAAAAAGGACAGAAGGGGAAGATTCGTTATTTTTTTTTTCTTTGAAAGAAAAATTTCTTGCAATTTCCGGAACGTGTGGCGAATCGCCACTATATTAAAATTGAAATATTCTGTCGATATTTACCTATAATAAACTATGAAAAATTACGAAAAAAATATTTCGAAATATATATTAAAAATTTGACAAAATATATACCTCGACGTTATTGAATGGTTCTTATTACCGAATAAATAAAATTTCAATTTAATATTTAATTCATAATATTATATTTTAGGAAAAAATTGAGAAATTCTTGTTATTTATACATTTTATATATATTTAAAAAATAAATATTATTGAATATTTTTAATGTCAACAGTATTCAGAAATCTGGATATTGCGAGAAATATGAATATCTAAGAGAGCCTTAGAATATTGACTGAATTATTCGTAGCGAACGTTTTCAAATATTCGCTAAATATTTAAAAAGGAGCAGAAATGTCGTATCTCTACAGCGAAATAGTACCTATATATTCTCAATATCCATTGAAATATCCATGTAATATCTAAGAAAATATCCAAGAATATCCATCGAATATCTTCGTAGAACTTCTATCGCACGTTCTAACGTTCTCACAACGGAAACATGACTAATCAAGTGAAGTGTGTGTATGCAGATGCACCTTTGACATTTTCCATGAAGATCTCTGAACGCGAACATCCGGCTTTGAATGGGAATTGAAGTGCGTAATAAGAAAGTATAAGTTGTCCAATGCAAGACGAAAAAGAGTGATTTCTATATATTAATATTTCATGATGATTATTATATATATGGTTACACAAATTCCGAATTCTTCAAAAGAAATTTGCCAAATTTAGAACGTAGTTAATCAAAAACTTTATTGTTTATTTTATATGCTTAAGAAATCCTGATCAACTTCAAAAGATATTTTAATTTAAAAAATTGTACATTTCATAGTTATATTATTTGATTTGGGAATACTATATGATAAAATGTATTAATAATTTAGGAGAAAAAAGGTAAAATAATATATAAATATTTCTTGCATATTGTGCAAAAGAAAATTATTCTAATTTAAAACGTATCTATATATAATTTTAGAATTTATCCTGAAAATCATGGTAATCATGCGAGATATAATATGTATATGATATTGGAAGAATTTTATAATTTCTCTAATTAATATTTACCCCAATAAAAAATATTAATATGTACATAGTAAAATTAATCGAACATATTTTATATTTTATAGTAGATAATATTTAATATAATATTATATTTAATATGTAATATTTTTATTGTGGTAAATATATTAATTAGAGGAACTTAAAAATCTTCTAATACCATATTATCTCACGATTACCATGATTTTCAGGATAAATTTTAAGAGAAAATATTCTCTGTATATTTAAGCCAAACACATGTTTTATTAGATTTAAGATTTAATATTATATTTAATTAAAATTTTTTTATTTTTATATGTTTAATTAATGAAATATTATTTAGTTGAAACGTTTAGTCAAGTTAATTTCTTTTCAGAGTATAAAGGGATAAAATAGTTTTATTTTTTCCCTACATCAAGTAAATTTTCGTAACCAGCATCCGGAGGACACTTTTTCCATCACTTTTAAAGGCGACGATTCATCGATAAGCAAATCTAATCTTCGATTCTTCTCATTGTCAGAGATTGTCCGCAGCTGTTAGAATCACCACAAAATACCGATTAGCTCCCTTTGTTCAGATATATCTACATCTCGAAACAAGAATAGGTGTGTCGAACAAAATGTGAAAGTAATCGTTTCTTTCGGCTTACTTAGGAACAAAGAATAATAATACGGAGCTAGCAGGATAAAAACCGAGCTCGACAGCCGTCTCTTCGCATCGAAAGTACGCATGCACACATGCAGACGTTTATTTACGTCGCGTCCGAGAGGGGTGGCTGAATCTCTCCGTCACCCGGAACACGCGATCGAAGCGACGAAACCGACCTAGAAAGTAGCGAGATACCGTTGCACTTGACACGGCCTATGCGCGCTCCGGCCCGTATGTATGTACGAAATACGGTAAGTTTACGGCTTACCTACATACGCATCGTACGTAAATATCTCGCCGCATACACGCACGTCGTCCCCCGGAACGAGCGTGAATTACCGCTGGCTTGCGCTCCAAAACTTTCATCGTCGAAAGAATGACAGATGACAGAATGGAGTCGAAAAAAATTCGGAATAAAAAAACAAAATGAGAATTTTTCTTTTCTTCCTCGTCTTAACAGCACACATATCCCGAAGACATTCCAAAAACATCTTGAGTCTGTCTGGATATCCTCTGAGTATATTTCGGAATATATGTTGTGCTATTAGGGTGATGACAGCTGAGAAAAAAAGAGTGCTTACCTGACCTTCCCGCCGCAGTATTGGCAGTGCGAGCCCTGCCAACCCTCGTGGCACATACAGGTGCCATTGACGCAGTCCCCGTTGACACAGGTGTCTAGGTAGCAGGCCGTATCCACGATCGGCGACGCGGAAGATGAGGACGCGGCGTCGCTTACGCGCATCACCCAGCAGCAGACGAGCACCGCCCACGGTAATAAAGTCGCCCACGGCACCGCGACCGCGGCGGCGTCGCTGCCATGGCCGCGTCGTCGATGACGGCGTCGTCGATCGCGCCCGACCGCGGCGATCTCGTCGTCGTCGTCGTCGTCCACGTTACCAACGTTGCCGCCGCCGTTGCCACGACGAGATCGCCGCCACTGATCTTTCCGACGATACTTGGACTTATATAGGAACAAAAACATGTGCACGATCTCTGCCATTTTGGTAGGCTTCCATGTCAGGGACAATGGCCGCAACGGACGCACCGACGAGCGACGCGCATACGGAAAAGGCGAACAAAATCACGGACCGAACACCTCGCCGAACTACCGTAATGCTCGCGACGCGACAATTCGAGCCGACTCAAACCTCTCTCTCGACCGACGTACTCGCGCGACTCGCTCCTACTGTCTATCCGCCGCTGCTGCGCGCTGGCGAGTGGCGAGCTCGGGGAGCGAACGCGCAGGCGCAGCCGCCGCGCCACGGTTCACGGATTACGTAACGAGATAGATAGGCAACTCGTACAATTTTTTTAGTGCCTCGAGCGCCACCTGGACGAATACATGATGTAAATATATTTCATTTATGGGTTTGTTCTTTATTGCTGCTTCATTCTAACTTACTGCACCAGTGCAGCAATAAAGAACAAACCCTATATATAATTATATAATTAATTTCGTGTTCGTTAGCGTCTTTTGACGTATTCAGACGTCTTTCCTCTCAAAAAAATTTGTTTTGTTTCTGTCGAATATATACGAATAAAATATAAATATTAATTAATTATACCCAACCCGTTGATGGCCGAAAGTCGCTGCAACTGGGTCACAATAAAGGATTAAGAAGAAGTATATCATTTAATTATTATATAATTCGTATATAATAAATATATAATAAATACATATAAATAATAAAAAATAAAATAAAATATATATAATGAAATAAAAAAATAAAATAATCAAAAATATTAAAGATTTATTAATAAATATATATAATAATAAAATATGAATATAATTATATATATATATATATACAAATATATATATACAGCATATATATATGTCCCAAAATTAATAGCAAACCTAGCTTTAAATGGCAGATTGGAGACGATAACGAAAATGTTGAGACATGAATAATTTTCGAGTTATAATTATATAATAATCCACTAAACACTAATAAGTAACAATAATATAATATCGATGTCCACTCATCAACAACTGTAACTGATGTATTACCAGGCATATTATATTGCGGTTACATTGTGTTGAGTGGGAAATTGATTATATTATACTGTTATACTTATTAGTGTTTAGTGAGAATTAATAAGCGATTGAAAATAAAGGATTTTCCGCAAACTAAGCCTTGTGAAAATAAAATATATTAACAAAATCATATTCTTTTATTATATAATACATTTTATGTAAAATTTACTTTAATAATATAGAATTTTAACTTAAGGTTAGCTTAATTATATACCCAGATAGCCACAGTAATTATTATGACATCATTTTGATGTCAAAATGCATCATTTGCCATCAAAATGATACATTTTGATGTCATAATAATTATACTGTGGCTATCTGGGTACGAATAAGATGCATGATAATAAAAATTATAGAAACATGTAAAAAATAATGGACTCTCCTGACATTTTCGCTGAAGAAAAATCGTCTTCAAATAATCCCAAGAATCTGTCATTAAAAGATTTGCTATTAATTAAATTAATTTAATAAGGACACTCTGAATAATGATGCAAATTTCTTTTTTATATTATAGGCGAATATACATGAATGAACTAAATAGCTGACTGAAGTTCAGGGCCGTGCAAAGGGGGGAATGCTACGGATGCATCACACCAGGGCCTCCATTCTTAAGAGGATTTGCTCCCCAAATTAATTATTGTTTAATTTAATTTTGTATATAAATATGTAAAAATAACAAGTTATATTTATTTATATTTTATAAAGCATATATATTTAAACTTAATAAGATCTTTATTTAAATAATTAATTAATTAAATATTTTTGATATTAAAATATTAACAAGTAAAAAGCAAAATTGACTATATAAAACTTAAACAATCTTCTAGAATTAATAATCTGTGCCATGATAAAATAATACAGTAGACTCTCGATCAGTGATGCCGTGTTGCCCACGCTGGTAACCGACAAACACAAGCGCAAACCGTGTACATGTGAGCTCTTTTTTAATTATATCGTTTCATTATTTTTTAATGTAAAATTTATAAACAGGTAAATGGTGCAAAGGTAAAAAAGGGCCCCATTTTTACCTTTGCACCAGGACCCCGAAAATCTCTTGCCCTGCTGAAGTTTCGGAATTCGGAACACATGTGAACTTGGCTTGTGACATATTTCTCGAGCATGGAACAGGCGCGAGTTACAATTGCGGTTGAGGGTTAGATTTCCCCGTGGTTGGACGAGCCGTCGTGCCGCTAATGTCCGGGCGAGAGTACAGACTCGCGCAAGCAGACGTAAACTCGAGACGCCGGGGTCAGCCGGCCAGCTGTCAAAATTGCAAAAGGGAACTGTCATCGACACCTGTCAAATCGTCCGCGTGTTCGTGACCGTGACCGGAGGATAGGTTAAGCCATGGCGAAGTACCTGATACAGATTATCGTGATGGGCACGCAGGTCGTCGGCAAAGCGTTCGCGCGCGCTCTTCGCCAGGAGATCGCGGCCAGCCAGGAAGCTGCGCGAAGAGCCGGTGGCGGGAGACAAGGTGCGCAGCACGCCGCCGCCAACACCAGGGCGGGAATCACGCTGGACGAGGCGCTTCGTATCCTTAACGCGGAACGTCCTGACCAAACGGAACTGATAGAGAAGAATTACAAATATCTCATGGAAGCTAATGACAGATCCAAGGGCGGTTCGTTCTATCTCCTATCCAAGGTTGTACGCGCCAAGGAACGCATAGACGAGGAAGTACAGAGAACAACGGCATCACCTCCACCGCCACCATCGCAGACAAATTCAAAAAGCGATCAAGAAACTACCAGGCAGCCATGAGACTTATATCTAGTCTAAATTCTACTTCTAGGCTTATTCTAATTCTAGAAACTTGTACATAAAATATAATAATAAATAGTAGATTCTGAATAAATTTGGTAGATATGTGATGTATCACCTTGTAAACATCAAGCTAATCGCATATTTAAAATTTATATTTTAAGCATATCGTTAAATAGATTTAATGTTTAAATAATATAAATGAAAAAATGTTATTTTCTTGAACAAAAAACATGATTTATGAATTAATAACTATTGCATCATATTGCATGGGCAAGTAAAAATAAATAAGAGAGATATAAATATCCATGTATATATGTACGTATATTCAGGAGATATATTGATTTATATAAAAGTTTTTCAAGTTCTCGCTCTTTTACGAAACTTCTTGTTAGCTACAGTTTCCAAATCATTGCGCTATGCTGTCAATCCAGCTACCATCGCATCCTGTGGTTCAATTCTATTCTGTGCCTGGCGTATGATCAATCGCTCTTGATTGTGGCGTACAGACCATAAACTTGGCAAGTATTTTGGATCCATTGTAGTAAGAAAATGTTCTCTCCACATACGTTCCAATTCAACGAGTCCACCATCCTTTTTTGAAAAAATTGTACGACCTATTGCATAAAAATTAGACAGTATGAAAATTTCATGAATGTATGCTTAAATAATTTTAAAATATATACCTTCAAACCATGTGGCTGGCATTTGTACTGATTAGAAACTGGTTGAATCAGTGCATTTTTTAGTTGTTCACTCAGGGCATTAAGCAGATCTGGGGTAATCTTTTGTTGTCCTGTATGCTCTATTATACATTTTTCGAGCTCTTCGCGTCGTCGCGGAGGTAACAATATTCTATCCTTCAAGGCCTTAACAGCCGAATGTAATTTTCGATAATTGTGCATGTATTTATCTCGTACATGCGTCATTGGTCCCATCAGTGGTGCATCGCACATGTCTGCTAACTTTCTTCTGAGCTGCAGATCATGATTATTGCTGATTTCATGACAAGATGGACATAGTAGTAACACATCGTGAGATTGATGTGCCTTCATTACCACTGAAAAAAGATTTTATGCAACAGTATATATGTAGTCATTATCACATGTTCTCATCATAAATCATTTTATATCACTTTTCTATTTTTAATCATATATTACAATATGTTATAATAAAGAAAATAAAATGCTTACATGGGAAATATTTTCGATACTCTCGCGGCACGACGTTTTTCCTAATAAATTTCTCGGTGCATCCACAAACTACACATTGATTAACTTTTACTTGTGTATAATATTGCCCAACTTCTCCCAATGCTCGGCCAGATGGCTCGAAATTTAATCTTACTGTATATGGTTCCATATTCACAAGTTCTCCCAGTTTTTTCGTAATATACCATTCTGCCTTTTTCCGGTCGCATGTACACAATATATCTCCATCAGGCGCTTGTAAGTAACAATTATGATATAATGGTTTGATCCTTGTAGGAATCGTATTTTTGCGTTCGTTACTATCGTCTTTATTCAATACCGATGATTTCTTAATATTTAAAATATTATTACTACTAATACTATCTACACTTGACGATCGCTGAGCGTTGAACCTTAAACAGATATATATACTTATGTATTTTTGATGCACACATATGTACATATATATAATATATATATAAATTTGGATAATATAATTTATAGAAAAAATAACTTATAAATTTTCATACCTCGTATCGACTGTTTTAGCAGGCACGCCATGAATTCTTACATTTACATCATTGCTCAATATATTATACAAATAAATCCCTACTCTCTGCCAGAATGAATACTTTTCTTTCTCTTTTTGCATGATCTGCAACAAAATTCAGATGTGAAGAGTACAATTCATAATAGCAATTAATGTATAAAAAAATGTTACTTTAAATAAATTTCCTTACTTTGCGATAAATGATAACGGATGCAAGTGCATCACAAGCAGCATATGCCACTTGTTCGTCTGATAGGGTGCTAGCGTCCCAGTCACCGCACCTCACTTCTATTATTTTGTCCATCTCAATGTTAAGATACTCTAAACTCATGGCAGCTAAGCTTTTTCGGCTTGATAAATTAAAGTTTTCAGCTAAAGTTCTTAAATCAAGAGTTCCATTAACTCTACATCCATAATCCTTCACTATTTTTTGTCCATCTTCGAAGGAAGCAACCCCAACTTTAAGAATGTGCTTACTAGCTAATAATTCCTGTGAATAAACAAAACATATTAAAAATTAATTTTATTAGCATTTTATGCATTTGAATAATAGTTATATACTTGTAAAATGTACCTTAAGTTTAGGTGGAATATATCCGATCTTTCCAATACGAAATAGAGCAACTACTCCATTGAAAGTGGCTAATTGTAAAAGAGAAACGGGTCCCTCTTTGACCCATTCGCAATCAAAACCCAGTACACCATCAGACAGATTACTATCAAAGAAGTATATGCAATTAATCAATAACTTTATTATAATAAGAATCATAAATGACATTTCTACTTGAAAAATAAAGTTTATAAAAGATTTTTAGAAACAAGCAATATAGAAAGAAATATAAATTTATATGATAAAAAAAGACTGAAAGAAGAAAAGTTTCTCGTCTTTTTTAATTAATCGCAATAAAATTTGTTACATATATTTAAAAGAAAATAAAATTAAATAAATCATAAAATATAATATACATAATTTTTCTTCACATAACGTTGCAATGATTTATTTTCAAGCGTTATAATTATATTTGAAAGTATTCTAAATCTTTCTGGAAGAATTTCAAGGACATATGTGCTGTCTTATTTCTTGTACACAACACTCAGGTATTCGATAATACTCATCAAAATAAAAAAAAAATGTAAATAATTATGAGAACGGTCGTTTCTATGTCATATTGTGGAAAGAGATAATAACATATTCTAACATTTAATGTTTGTGTATGATATTTAAAAATATTATACGTAAAAAACTGCTTGTTTTCTTACACTATAACAAAAATAATCTCGTTATAATTCTTACCAGCGAATACGTTGTACGGCGTAATCGCATTTCTCCGGAGAGTCTGCTAGAATAATCTTGTCTAATATAAGCTTAATTTCCTTGTTGTCATCGTTATTCTCATTATTATTTAAATCCTTATCATCTTTTTTATTTAAATCTTCATCGGATTTATTTTTACAGCTACTATCGTTTCGATTAATATCTCGATTTTTTATATTTTTATATAAGTGTTTGACGCTACGAAGCACGTTGTTGCGATACTTCGATGCCAAAAAGACAAGTCCCACGGTCACGCAAACGAGAAACATATTGCTGCGCGCGGGAACCATTAATTAACGAGAAAATTAAGACACGCGGAAAATTGGATTAAAAACCTATTGGTATTTACAATTCCGATTCGTTATACGGGATATATATATATATATATTTATGTACACGCACGAGCAACTCGTTAATGTTACAATTTTATAAATATCAAATGGATTATATATTTGAAAGGAACTGAAAAAACTGTCGCGCCACCGATTACGCGGAAGCGCGATATATATGTATTATATACGTGTGATATGAATTTATAATCACAGTGATAAACTTCTCAAAATGTTACACACAGACATTCATATAAAACTGACGTAAAGAATAACTAGCGATTATTCAACGTGATATAAATCTGCTAGTAATCGAAATCGCGATCGCGCCTGCCTCCAAGTTTTCATATAAAACAATCATCTCGGTGACCAGCTCCGACACATCGAAGGTTTAACGAGGTTCAAAACTACCCCGTAGCTATTCTACAACGACCGGCGTACGCGGCTACAGGTTATCACACCAACTACAAGACATCTTCGAGCGCGAGCGCGCTTATATTAGCTGATCAGCTGTTCTGTCAACGCCGCGGCGCGCTGTCAACGGTGCGATAGAAATCGATTCCTCCTATCGACGAGCGATTCGAGCTATCGAGAATCGACATTCTCCATTATCGCAATGGAAGGAAGAGGAAACGTCTTTTCCATCCTTTCGGAGTGTTTTGTCGTGAATTGGTTCATGTTTTTTACGACACGTGTAAAAAAAATATCTGGACTAAAGTGTTTAAAATTTATACTTGTTTTTAAAAGATTATTAAGGCCAGGAAACAGCAATCTCGATTGGCTACATCGTTACTGATATCAAATAAAATGCGATTGGCCGATGTTTTTTTGGTTGATGATATTCAATATGGCGTATTTACTTTCGCATAGATATTTCGCATCGTCCGGTTATTTCTCGGAGATACATTTCTGATCTCTCTTCGTCGAGTACTATATCTCTACAGCTACTGCAGCATAGTTTCCTATCTACAGTGCTCGTAGAGTTAGTTTTTGCGCGTCAATTGCGGCGAGATTTAAGTTTTGCTTTTAGGTTATATGCTATTTATACAATAGTGTCGCAAAAGGTGATGAGTTAGTACCTGTATCGTCGTCCACGGGAATCTTTCTTAAGGTACAATGATTGTTTGCGCGGCCAACGGATGTCCCTCCACCCAGAGTATGAGGATAGACGGCAATCCGGTATCGTTTTTTCCTTTTCCAGGCGATGATCTGTAAGTATATTTTTCAGCATAAGAATGATTAACGTAAATATTAGCATTAAATTATTAACTATTTCTCCGCTGAATTTCAGCAGGAAGACTCAATGGCTTCACAATTGCAATTTAGCATCGGGTATCATAAACGATAAGAAGCCCCTGCATCTCTGCGAGTTACATTTTGAAAGAAATTGCTTCACCGCATCGAGGGATTTGAAATCAAACTCTGTACCTACCCTGTTTGGTAGAATAGAAGGTTTGTAAGCTTATGTGGAAAGTTACATCCTACAACTACAAAAGTGTTTTTTTAATAAGTAATTTGATGGATCATCCAATAAATGCAGTAAATAAATATTATTTGAATTAAATAATTACTAATTATTTTAATATTTTAACTTGTAATAATTCAATAAGAATTATATACAAATACATTGAAAAATTATTTATAGATATAGTTTACAATATACAATTATTTTAATGTTTTTATTTTGGTGCAATATAGACCATATAGTTCAAAATATTGCAATCATATTTATTTTTTTATAGAACCTCCAAAAAAACTAAATACAATTGAAAATGTATTAGAAAAAGAACCACAAGAAGAGCTACAAAAAGAACCATTAAAACAGAAGAAGTTAGATGAACATTCGCATACTTTAGTGACACCGCCACAAAGTCCATTCACGCAAGATAATGTAAATCATTTTTTTAACAATATATTGTTCATATGTGTTTACAAATCATTAATAAATTATTATTTATAGGCCTTTATATCTATATTCATGTACTACTTTGCAGACTGAAGATACAACTAGTGGAAATAAAACAAATATATCAGTTGATGAAACAATAACTATAAATGGTTCTGCCACATCAAGTACTGTATTGCACGAGACTCTTCAAACAAAGTCAAAGTCATATCGTTTGATAATACAAATCGACAAAATACGAGGTAAACCAGGCCCAAAATGTAAAAAATTGCCTTTGATAATGCTTAATAATGATAAAAAGATGACAAGTGAACAAGACACGAAGAAGCTTCGACCATTATATATTAAAAAGCCTTGTATGCAGGGTTCGTGTAAATTGAAAAGATGCGTATACAATTCAAAACTAGCATTTCAATGTGAAATATGTGATAAATATTATGTTGCAAAGAAAGAGGTCGAAAACTACTCTTGCACTATATGTAGCAAAACTTTTCCTAATCCACAAGCATTATATATGCATCTTAGAAAACATTTTACATGTGATATCTGTGAGACAGAATGCAGCTCTCAAACGAGTTATGACAAACATGTAAAATTACATGTTAGTATTGATCCATCAAGTCCATACAAATGTCATCAGTGTAAAAAAACATTCGAACTCAAAGACAGTGTTAAACAACATTGTTTGGAGCATCCTAAAATAAAATTACAGAAGTCTCTTCTTCAAGTTTCACCTATAACTACAATAATCCCTCAACGAAATGATTATCGATGTATGAACTGTAATATTAGTTTCAAAAGTGATCTAGCATACAGGTAAACTTTTATATATATAAATAATATTTAAAAATTTTTAAAATTATAAATATGTATGCTAAAAAATATATGTTGTGTGTGTATAATTATAATTACATAAAATATGCTTATATAACACAAATAATTTAAACTTACCTTTTCTATAATAAATTAAGAGTTATAAATAATCAAAATTTTATTTTATAAAATAATACACACATAACACATATATTACTTTATATACTTTATCATGATATTACAAATATTACAGGAATCATTTAAGTTCTCATGGAAAGAAAGAAGGCTTAAGTTGTAATATTAGTGAGACCAACAAAATAATATCGGTGCCGAATCCTTTAACTGGAAGTCAAATAGGTATTCTTCAAGCAGTAAAATTCAGCTGTCGAGTATGCTCTAAAGAATTCGATAATGTTGGAGAAGTTGACTTACATACAAGGACTCATTTGGACATCGAGGAAGATCACAAATGTAACATCTGTAAGAAATCTTTCAAGAGCAGTTTGGCTTTTAGCGAACATTTGAAAGAACACTTGGCGCGTGCACATCCTTGTCCAATTTGCTCGAAAGCTTTCATCAACAAAACTACTTTAAAGATACACTTAAAAACGCACTCCTAATTTGTAAATAGTAAGAAATTTTTATTTTGATTATTTTATTTGGATAAATATACCCAAATAAAAAATAGAATATTATGTAAACATTTTTTAAAGAACTCACACATGTAAAATACAATATTTGAATATTATCAACTCATATACAGTCAATGTATTACTTAGATTAATTTCTAATATCATATAATGCCATAATATTAAAAGTTTTGTTTTTACAAAACACATCTATGTTTGTAAAACTGAAATCTATTGCATTAGCTATTAATTTGTTAAGTATATTTTATAAATAGAACTGTATTTTCATGTGTGTTATAATTATTTTTTAAAAATAGATAATATTATGTAGTTTAAATTCTCGTGTTATGATAAGATATGACGCATTATAAGTCAGTTTATAAGAAAAATCTCATATGTGTATAGCGTCTTTTATTTTAAGATCTAATTGAAACTTTTCATTGCTAGAAATTTTTCTTATTTTGTTTTAATACATTGTTTTTTATTCTAGTATATGATGAAAATTTCTTCAATTTTTTCGTTAATTTGGTAGTTTTATCATGTATAATTATAAAATTGAAATTAATTAATAATTTAAATTTTATTTTAAAAAATATATGGAAATAAACATATATTACGTTTCTGTGAATATATAAAACATACTAGATGTCTGTAAATAAATGGAGCATACATACTACATGTCTGTATATATAAAAAACCTATACACATTATATAAATATTATATGAACAGATGCAACTATTCACAGTTTCTTATATAGTTATATTGATATTTTTTATTGTATGTATATCATAAAAATATAGAAAACTTGAATACGCGGGCACGTGTATATATATACATGCACGTATGATTTTATTCTCTTTCTTTCAGATTATATTTAAAGAAATGAAAATAAAATATAAATTTTCTGAAAATATATATGTTCTTATTAATATAGGTATATTTTTCTATAATATATATCTCTATTTTCGCAAAAACAGTTGTTGAGTATGCCAAGTAAACAAAAAAATTTTTGTCGAAATTTATATTGTTAGAGATATGTATATCACGTTTTAAAACTTAATATTTATATTGTAAACTTTTCTGGATCTTTAGTATTTTTTGGTCTGTACAGTTAATCTTTTTTTATGATTCAAAAATAAAAAAATTAACACTGCACTTATAGAAATTTTAAAATAATAGGTACATATATAGCGTTTCTAAATAGATAAAAGATATTGTATTACTAAATGAATAAAGATATGTATATATTTGCATATTACATACACGATAATACTATGTTATAAATAAGTATAATGTCATATAAATAGGTATTTATTTTCATGACTTCTATAATGAAATTGAATTCATAATTTACAAAATCAGAAGAGAAAATTTAATCTGATATTTCAGATTATTATCTCTAATGTAGCGTTCGTCTTTGTGTATATTTTCTGTGTGTAATAAGAAAGAAAGATTAATTTTTCAAACAATATTATAATTTATTCAATAGATAATATTAATAAGAATAAATAAAATTAATGACAATCACTCAATAAACAGACATGTACTCTTTTACTCTTAATCTGCTTATTCTAAAAAAAATAGAAAAAATATAAATTAAATTTTAATTTGTATTTAATTCGAATAATGAATATTTTCTGTTGAAAATTCGAAAATTTTTAAAACAATCTCTGATTATTTATATGCGCGCGTTTAATTTAATTTTATTGATTCATTTATTTTTCGCAAAAGATATCTGCATAGGAATGACAAAGTACGAGTGATAGACTCGAGATCGTGAAGAGGGATATGGACCGCGAATGAATGAGCGCACGAATGGCGATAATAGCATCCTTTGAGATGCCGCGGTACTTTCGTGAAACGCGCGCAGAATGATCCTGATTTTTACAAGGAAAGGAACGTCCAGAAGTTACCGGCAGCAATACGGAAGGGGCACCTGGGAGAAGGGAAAACCGCCCCCGAGATCCAAAAGGTGCCGACGACCCGCTGCGGAACAATCGCACCGATGTTCACGGGTCGCCCACTGTCAACGGGGACCACTTCAAACGTAGCCGGCTTCAATGTGTTTATTTGGCCAACGTCAAATTTACTCGTGGAAAAAGGGGAACCCGAAATGATGCGCCGTGCCGCCAAGGCGGCACTTCGTCGCCCTGGTTTTGTGTTGTCCGAGACACAAATCCGATCGTTTTGTGTCGCAGTGCATCACTTCGCTGCCGCAGGCTCGTGTAACCCCGTTGTAAGCTCTTGACTTTTGCTTGACGAGTTTAAGTCGAACACGGGCGTAATCCGATTGTTGTCGCGCGATCAAAGAATCGAAAAGATTCTCCCGATGAACAAGCGCGAATTTCTTTTTCGTGTAAAATTTGCTACAGATTGGACATGCGAGATATACGATATCATTTATTATATAAATGTGGATGTAATAGAAATTTTCCTAGTAATTTTAATAATTGATTTATATTTTACAAACGACACAAATAAAAAATTAAATTAAGGAAAAAATCAGAAAGAATATATTCGACTATAAGATGAATAAAATATTTGTATTGACTTTTTATATATATATATATATATATATATATATATATATATTGTGAAATATTGCTATATAATCATTAGAAATTTAGAAAATTCTAAGAGAGAAGGAAAGAAAGTATATGTGTACAGGTGATGTAATATGTTTACAAAAAATTAGCTACATATTTGTTTTGATTATTCTAAATCGATCTTATAAAATCTAGAAATATCAAGTCTGAATTGTATACATTTTTATGTTATATGTATGAAACTTGTTCTCAGAGTCATATACACACACTTGAAAATATCGATAAAATTTATTGAAGATATAAAAAAATAGAAAAGATTTTAGGGAGAATATATTTCGATATTTTTAAGAATTAATTTTACTGTTCGAAAATTATGTGGAACATTATCATGATGACTTTAATTAACACACACATACATATCTATATTTTTTATTTATAAATGATAATCATGAATACAAATATTCAAAATATAGAAACATTTTATTCAATAATTTGTTAGTAATTTATTTTAAAATTATTTGTAAAAAATTATTTTCTGCACGTCAATTTTTATAGAAATAATTTTTTGTTTTGTAACAATATTTATAATATTTGTTGAACACGGCTGCAATTTAATGATCGCAATATAAAGATTTAATAAATAGAGAGTAGTTTAGAGAGTCCATTATATAAGCCTCGAGTATTACGCAGCGCGTGAAGACATTTAGCAACGCTTTGTTAAGTTTAGAATAACGATAGTCAAGGTGCTAGGTATATCGGAAGAGCTTAGAGGAGGATTCCATAAATTCGTCATGGACTTCTCCATGGACCACTAAACGCTAAACGACGTACGCATATTGCGTATACGCAGAGTACGGAACTATAAGGATTAAGGGTGGCGAAGGGTCGTCGTGTGACGAATTCGTCAATTTGCCGTGAACGTTGGAAATAGATCTCGAAATAATCTGCAAGACATGTCTCAATTCGTTTCCATTTAGCACATCTTGATATACCAGGTATTGTTTGCGATTTGTGTATCGATCAGGGAAACTGCGAATATTATGACAAAACAAAAATGGGATGTTAGTCTCGATATAAATATATGATTTTTACGCGAAAATGTGATTAATTTTCTCTTTTCCACTGTAATTGTAATTTGTAAAATTAAATTATTCATAACTATTAATGATATACACTTAATAAAAAATATAAATTACATACTCTCCATACAGAGTCGATACAGCCATCGCAAATAAATTTGAAATAATTGGATAATCCTAGCAAAATCTTTGGAAAATTCTAAAAAGAAATATCGCGCAAGACTAAATTTGCACGATATTTTTCTATCCATTGAAAGGGTTGTTCGACTATAAAGCCGGAAAATGTGCTAATTCACAATCGTGTCAAAGTGACCGACATTCAGCGTCGGAAAACGCTTTCTCGATTCAAGATGGACATTTCCTATATGTGTATACAATCTGGGCAGCTGTATCGGGATGGATGACACATGTATTATTTGATAGAAGCGAACAAAAAGAATTATATCTAAATTTAAAAAAATTCTGTTTAGATATATATTAATATAGCATTATCAATTGAGTATAATTTTATTTTGTTTTTTAGAGATTATATAATTATATATATTTTTATATATCTTATAATTATATATAAAATCTACATACACTCTGAGAGAATTTTCTCTTAGAATTTACCCTGAAAATCATAGTGTAGGACAATATTGGAAGAACTTTATGAGTTTCTCTGATTAATATTTACCACAAGAAAAAATATAAATATGTACATAGTAAAATTAATCGGACGTATTTTATATCTTATTATAGTAAATATTAATCAGAGAGAAACTTTTATAAAATTCTTCTAGTACCATATTGTCCCACAATTATCATGATTTTTAGGGTAAATTTTAAGAGAAAATGTTCTCTGTGTAGGAAGAAATTTGTATAATTGATCAAGATGCAATCAATAAGATGATAATATAGATTAATGTTTAAGCGCATCAATTTTTGCATTGTCGAAATAAAATAATATAATTATTATCATAACGCGCGCGATAGAGGATTTTGAAAAGTATGAAAAGATAATATGTATAAAAAAAAAGATGAATCGTCAAGATAAATATATAGCCGACATATTTCTTTTCTACTGATTCTAGTATTAAAATTAGTAAACAAATTCGTTGCTTTTATATTCCGATTTGTAAAAGATTGGTGATATAATCATAATGCACAAGACAGTTTCAGTCTTTCTGCTGGACAACCGTGAAGGAAAAGGCTTACAATCTCATATCAATGTTCATGCGGACACATATGCTCCACAGAATGTAAACCGTGAAAAATGCCTCCGACTTCTCATCCTGAAGGAAAAAACTAAGGACGATCAAAGGAAGAGAAAGAGCATATTCGAGAGAAAAGACAGCAGAAAGAAAGAGAAAGAAAGAGAGTCTCTCTTTTGGTATAGCAGGCACGGGCCATCTGGCAGAACGATCTTTTATTATGGTATCTATTCCTCCCGTGGGCTCTCTTCGAACGACGAAGGATTCACTCGCGTGGAAGTTGGATCTTTGATTAATGGACAACGAGATAAACCGCATCGATTTCCCGATCGATATCGATGGTGAGAGACTGTGATTGCTTTTGCCCTAGCTAATATTCGCATTTAATTTCGCACTTAGGCAACGCCGTAATATAAAAAGTTCCTTTTCAAAGATTTTATATAATAAATATTTGTTTTCTTATATTTATTTCATTTTTTAAAAATAATTGAATTCTAATATTTGGTTTAAACATATACACAATAATGTATGAATGTACAGAATATATTGGTGAAGAACCTGAATAGAAAATTCGAAAGTAAAATTTTTATAATTATGTTTTTCCTTCAACTAAACAAGTGTAATTGGGGAATCTACTTTATTTTTTATAGTTCATATTATTAAATTTATAAATAATTTACAAAACTTGGCTCAACATTTTACAATAATATATATAATTTAGTATTACATCTTTTTAAATATATGTACATAAATAAAGATCTTTTTTATTTACTTTAAATGTTCTTTCCCTTATTTTGCAAATTTTTATTAATAATATAAATATTACATTTTAAAATATTTTATGAAAACTTACTTGATAGGTTTTAGGAAAACAACATTGGAATAATTGTATGGATAAATTTAACGAGAAGAAATAAATTGTAAGCATTTTTTACATCACAATTTGTATAAAATTTATCTCGCGAAAAATAAAATTCTTTTGTATATAAAAAATCTGTGTGTTTTCTGTTGGTAGAGAAAAATATATCTCTTCGATACGGTGTAAGAACAGTGTGTCACAAAAACAACATTGGAATAATTGTATGGATAAATTTAACGAGAAGAAATAAATTGTAAGCATTTTTTACATCACAATTTGTAAAAAATTTATCTCGCGAAAAATAAAATTCTTTTGTATATAAAAAATCTGTGTGTTTTCTGTTGGTAGAGAAAAATATATCTCTTCGATACGGTGTAAGAACGGTGTGTCACGAAAACAACATTGGAATAATTGTATGGATAAATTTAACGAGAAGAAATAAATTGTAAGCATTTTTTACATCACAATTTGTATAAAATTTATCTCGCAAAAAATACAATTCTTTTGTATATAAAAAATCTGTGTGTTTTCTGTTGGTAGAGAAAAATATATCTCTTCGATACGGCGTAAGAACGGTGTGTCACGAAAACAACATTGGAATAATTGTATGGATAAATTTAACGAGAAGAAATAAATTGTAAGCATTTTTTACATCACAATTTGTAAAAAATTTATCTCGCGAAAAATAAAATTCTTTTGTATATAAAAAATCTGTGTGTTTTCTGTTGGTAGAGAAAAATATATTTCTTCGATACGGTGTAAGAACGATGTGTCACGTCACGTCACGTCACGCGTAATTGTTTGGTGGCTGCTAGCGATGCTCGGATGGCAGGGTGACTCTCTGGGAGTAACACACCCCACACTCTTTTGGGGTATCTACGAAAGAGCCCAGGGTGAGCCCCATAATAGCCCTCGACCAGATCCCACCCTCTTGGCAAACAGAAAGGCCTTGAAAGTGTGCACGACCGCAGAGTCGCCGCCCCTTGCATGGCGGGGTAAAATTTGATTATGCCCCTTCCACGTGGATGAACTCGGCGAGATTCATCGGCGGGTACCCGCCAATGATTTATGCCACTTTTTTTCTTACCGCAGCGACAAGTTGTCTTTGTTGTCGTTAGCTGTTGTATGTGCGTGCATGCGCTTCCATCATTTTTATTGAAACGGCTGAACGTAAAAATTATTCTTCTCTCATCTTTTTACATGCATTAACTTTCTTATTTCATTGTGTTTTCAATATTATTTAAAATAATCTACGCAGATATGCGTATTATTAAATACGATTTGTTAAATGCATCGCTGTATATGACGCAGACCATTTATAAGTCAATTGAAAAAGATTTCAATGTCTCTGTGGAATGTGTAGAATTTTTCCTGGATATTAACATTTTCTTAATAAATTTTTATTTAATATAAATATTTCAATAATTGTTGAGTTTTAAGCACTTCTTTAGACTTTATTTTAATATGTGCAAATAAAACACTTTCTCTCGCAGCTAATTACACAAATGGACATTAATAAAATTATTAATTAAATATTAATATCAAAATATTGATATTATAATATTTATATTTTATGTTATAAAGAGAGGGAAAGGCAGAAAGAGATTTTAATTAAAAGAATACATGAAGCATATGGCAAATATTGAGTGCAACAAGAAGAGAGACGTCTATATTAGACGCAATGCTTCACATTTTTGTGTAAGGTAACTTTTTTCGATTGCGGATACAATACTTTTCTAAACCGCAACGAAAAAAGCGCGCTCCCAATAAATTCAGTGGAATTAGCAGAAATCTGCGATATTTGTAGCTGCCTGATCCATCATCGGTCATTGACGGATATACAATAGAACTTCAGGAAGCAATAATACCAGTGCTGCACCCACGATCACTCATGTTTTTTTTTCATGTCCATCTGAACAGATCAATTCCTAACGATTGCATACAAGGTACGAAACTATCATGCAAAAAAATATTCATTTGATAAATCTGTTATTATTTTGTTTCGTAGCATGAACATTCAATTAAATGTGTCTAGATTTTTGATGAACTTATATCAAAATGTACTACGTTGCAAAATATTGCATTTCAGATTAAAAGTAGAAATTTGATTTAAATAGAATCTCTTTCTTTTTCTTCTGTATGTATATACATATTTCATAAAAATTAATTTAAATTATAATCATTTACAATCCGTTTAAAAAAGAATTATAGATTACTTGTAAAATTATATAAACATAATATCATTTAGTCTTATAAATACATTTATAATAAATATTTATATGCTTATTCAGATTTATTAGGTTTTGCAAATATTCCAAGAAATACAGCAGATGGAATAGATCATTCATGGTCGGCAAAAATACGCGATCCTGAATTGAGGCAACAGTTACGTGCCTTCGTTTTGCTTATTAAAAACAGGAAAACGCAACTTAAACCTGACACACGAATGTCAGTAGTCGTAACTTGTTGTGACTTCCGTCGCTCGAAGTAAGACGGATCGAGAAGAATTTAGTAAAAGGAAAACCTAGGTCACTTGGAGAACTGATCGATCCATCATCAGACTAACACAACTTCTGCATTTAAACGGCACGTATGTGAGAAAAGGAGAGTTATCTTGGCACTGTCGCAAGATTCTAGTTTTTCCAAAGGACCTTTGAACTTATTTTAACTTGACCGATCACAGAAATCACGTTATCTAATCAGCATTGACGGGTCTCAAAAACAATCACGATTTATAATTTAATAGAATATATAATTTTCAGATAAATATTTATATCCAATTTAAAAGTAAGTCTCTATATTTCCTTCAGGGTTTAAACATTTGTACTTCTCCAAGAAAGAGTTTGATTCATAAATATATATAGAACATAGCATATATATCTAATCAGCATTGACGGGTCTCAAAAACAATCACGATTTATAATTTAATAGAATATATAATTTTCAGATAAATATTTATATGCAATTTAAAAGTAAGTCTCTATATTTCCTTCAGGGTTTAAACATTTGTACTTCTCCAAGAAAGAGTTTGATTCATAAATATATATATAGAACACTTACTTACAAATTAGCTAGAAGAGATAATAATGAGAGAAGAGAAGCAGGACCGTGGATTACTAAATCGCGACGTCACGGAAATTGTATATGATCGCTCAGAGCTGGAAGCAACGGGACCTTCGCAAAACGGGCGACGGCGATGATGTCGTGACGAATGCGACAAAAGGTAGAGCCTGGTATCAATGGTCCCCGGCCGGTTTTGTGAGAACATCGTTTTGACAGAAGGGTGTCGTCACAGTCGGTGGAAGCGAGACGGACACGAAGAGGGTGGGTGGCGTAGATCGGCAAACGCGGCTTTCTCTGTTTCTGGAGGGTAACGCGAGATCTTTCTCTCTCTCCCTCCTCGAGTGTTACAATAAATCAACGGCGCGCTTTTGCGAAGCTCCACCCTCGGAGACCTTTGCCATATATAAGCAATATATCCCATACATGATGCGACACCCCGTACCATGACGATCCGACTCTGTCTGCTCTGGTCTTCATTGTATCTAAAGTGGCCTGTCCGTCGATTTTTCGAACGGATCGCTTTCTATAAACAATTTATTCTTTCAGCTCCCGTGAACGACTCGCATCGGGCTAAGTTATCAATGAAATTAAGTAGCAGATTGATGTCTCGCGTTTCATTGCAAATCTTATTTATTTATGTATTTATATTTTTTAAATTACTATTTAACATATCATTAATATAATTGATACGTATTTTTTAAGGAAGAATTCATTGCGATTTATAACTACAGAATTCGTAGAAGAAAGCAAAAATTTGAATTTCTCTTTCGGAAATTTCAGATATTTTAGGAAGTTTTTTAATTTATTACTTGATGAGCGACAATTAATCTCGGTTATAAATCTATACATAATATTTTTAATATCTTGTGTTGCGATTTTTATATGTTTCTGATATTAAAAGTATTTATAGCATATAAATAGTACAAGTAAAAGTTACGTGTTAAATGTTAAGAAACAGCGATAATAATAATTACACCAGCAAACATCGTCTGAGTAAGAAACATCGAATTCGAGGATCGCAACCCTTTCGCGGCCAATGAAATCGACGCCGTTCTCGAATTTCGTGTGACGGGCGTGCCTAGTTTGAGGAAAGCGGTATGTTTCGAGCAAACGGGGTGGATCCGCGATATAGGAAGCCTACGACCCTTCGATATCGTTTATTCGTATCGGTTCTGCATTGGCTTTTTCTAACATCCCCGTTTCGTCCGCGCTCCGACTTTCCACGCCGATCGTCCGTATTTCTCCCTACGTCCGTATACTCGTGCTCCCTCGTGACAAAAAGGGCGAGAGCCCCGTGGCCGCAGCGACCGATTAATTCACTACAAAGGGGCTGCGTATCGCACATCGAGCCCTCGACAGGCCCCTCTAAACCCACCTTCGGCCCTACTGCCAAGGGCGTCCTGGCTCTTATCCTTCTCCCGCCGACGCTTTTCGGGGGACGAACCGATCCTCCTTCCATAAAGAGGATTGGTTCGACCCCCGAAAGGCAGTTGGTAGCGGGAAATATTTCTATATAAGGTCGGGGTGAGCTTAGATTCGTGCTTAGTGAGTTTCGGACAATCCGTAACACTGTCGCGCTGGTTGCCCTATGTCCGCGTCAACGGTGAAGTTTCATAGGCGGTAATATAGAAGTAGATTATTCATCAGATTTATCCAATTTTCGTTAAGTCTTCGATAAGATGTCCGAGCTGAGGACCAGCGGTTTCTTTCGACCGTGGCATATCCCGGAGACCACGAATAAAGCGGAGACCACAATTGTCCCTGTTGACGATACTCCCCATGATACGTCGTGCAACAGACAGGAGGACGACGACGAGAGCGTCGTGTCTTCGGTGACATCGACAACATCCACCTCAAGCTCGACCACCGTGGAAACATCCGAAAAATATGACGATCATCTCTTGGATCGCGGTACGGCGGACTCGACTTCGTTAAACGTTGTTCGTCATCGCGCAAGGATACGTCGGGGAAGCGAGTCCTCCGACGACGTGGCGACCAGCACCACGCCTTCCCTTGAAGGCGAGGACGTCGTCGGGAGCACTGTGCAAGATACGAAGAACAAATCACGTGCCTTCCGTTCGCAGCAATCGATCGATTCGACGACCCACGCGGTTCCCGTTCGCGATTCAGATAAGTTTAATGGTGCCAGTGATGTTAGTCCGCTGGAATATCTCTCGACATTCGAGTTTCGACGTCCGGAAACCTTTGCACCGATAAGCGATGGAGCTTATTCGATGGCGAATTCAGCTGGACCATCATCGATCCCTGAGTTGTACTACGCCTTTCCCGACTTTCACTCGGGGATTCATCCTGGAATACATTCCGCAGTTCAACCGGGGATTCTTCCTTCGGAGTTTTATCATCGTTCTGTGGAGGAAGCGATGCAACTGGTGCATCGACAGGATGTTGTTGCCAAACAAATGAAGAAGATGCGCCCAAAGAAGTTTCGCTGTCAATATTGCGACGTCGCGTTTAGCAACAACGGCCAACTTAAAGGACACATTCGGATACACACTGGTTAATTGAAATTTTCAATATAATTTATCTGTATTTACTGAATAAGACAAGATAGCGATGCATGTGGAAAACATTTGCTGGAGAACATCTTTTTGGATATTTTTAAATAATTTTCTCTTGTAATAATTTTATAATCTTTAGACCAGATAATTTTAATTTCGATCTTTTTATTTTACATTTTTTTATATAATTTATCTACACCAAAAATATTTGCTGAGAAAATATTCATACTGAAAATTTGTTAAAATATCTCTCTGAACAAAACAACAAAGCATAAATTAATGATGTTATACATAAAATAATTAATTTCTTCAAAACAAACAAGTAAACAGTCCCATGTGTCACAATAACTCATATTTGCAGATCAAATCATTAAATTGAAATTAACAAAACATTATTATTGTTTAGGACTATCATTATTGTTTAGATTGAAGAGAATTGATTTGACATAGCTTTTAACGAAATTTTAATGTATCTCATGAGTTTTTAATCATTTTTTATCGAGGTAATAATGTACTAAAGAAGATCTAGTTAGATCAAAACGTTTACTTGTTTGTTTTGAGTAAATTAACTATTTTATGTATAACATCCTGGTTTATTGTCGCCTTTAATTGATCTTTATTATTTGATTTTAAAAATCTCTCTGAACAATTTTGAGTAATTTTCTATAATAATTTTAATTTCTAGGCAAAGAAATTTAATTTCAATATTTTTAATTTATTTTACAACATAAGATTTTTTAAAGAAAATTTTAGAAAATGTAAAAACAAATATCGATGTATCAGCATTTGTATTTTCCTATTCATTTCGTTATAAGCGATAAAATATAGAAAGAGTACTCATTGATGCATAGAATTTATTGCGCTTTTATTCGATTACTTAACTAATCGCAATTAAGCTTGTGAAAGAGAGAGAGAGAGAGAGAGAGAAAGAGAGCAAATTTTCATTCAAGTAACAAAGTTCGCAAACATCTCTCTTCTTTTTAAAAGAAATATTATCGAAAATCGCTATCACAAGATAAGCATTGCAAACACAAATAAATCATACCGCAGAGTTAAATAACCACATTTGAACATAAATATAGCATACATTTTTATTGTTACAGGGGAGAGACCGTTCAAGTGCGACGTAGAGTCTTGCGGAAAATCGTTCACCAGAAACGAAGAACTGACGCGACACAAGCGGATTCACACTGGTGTTCGCCCTCATTCTTGTGTCGTTTGTGGCAAACGATTCGGACGTAAGGACCATCTGAAGAAACACACGAGGACCCACGAAATTCGCGATCCGTACCGCGTTTCGGCGACGGCATTGGGCATGTTCGCTCTAGGCCATTCATTTCAACAAGCTACCGGACTGCCGCCATACATCTACCAGATCTGACGTCGGAAATTTGCCGGTAAAAAGATCCAACATAACGATCCATATTTGACAATTTTGACATTTTTATTCTCGCGATAAACGTGACGATTGTACAGGGTATCTATAACTAGTGTATATATTACTGCAAAATACAATACTATATTTTATACAATGTTAGACGCCTGGGGTATCTTGAGAGTTTTAAATCGCGTATCTAAGTATTTTCGATACCATCATTTACATTTAGTGATAAAATTTATTACAGAGCCGTCATAAACTTTAGAAGGAAAATTTGTGAAAAGCGTTTCGCAATATTTTTTAACGAAGCGATTTCCGCATCTTTCGATTAATTCCTTTTTTTCTGCGCAACGCGACGGCAATGTAGCGTAATGTAATATAAATATGTATAATGTAAATACTTTATATAATTTAATGTAGATAATAATCTCAGAAATAGTCTCAGAAGATGTACATACATTTTATTATATTTATTATTATTATATATATTAGACTTGTTATATATTTGAGATGGATTTATTGTTACCATTATATGAAGCAAATATTTATAAATTAATATCCAGTGTTTATTTTGTATTCATTTTCCTTAACGAGAACAAATATTTCTAAATTTTTTCTAAAATATATTTAGAATGTTGTATTCTCAGCATTTTTATACAGATTTGTTATATTATTTGCCTTCGAAATAACGTCCTTTCTGTAAATGGGAAATGAATGCATTGATTTTATCATTGAACAAGCAATATCCTCTTGTCCCAATTGAATATAATGATTTCATATTTATGATATATTTTAAAATATTTTCATAAAGGATTTTCATTAAAATGTGATAACACATGATCAATACAAATATTAGAAATTAAATTATAGCTAAAAATAGTAATTGTAATTTTCTTTTGTAAATCTCCATTTACTATTTCTCACCCAGATGAATGCATATTTAAATCAAGCAGCAATATATATGCGTTCATCAACGTTACCATCAAGACCACCACCATTTTCCCGGCGATTGAATTCAAGATGGCGTCACCAACTGCAACCCCTCAAATAATAGAGACTCCCCTTGCTCGTTTATACGATATGCTGTAAAGGACATAGGGGGGAAGAACAGTGGGTTGCGCCCTTTCGTTCTCGAGAACGCATGGTTACGATACGCGTGTCTGTGTCTATAAGCTTTTTCCGCCTTTTTTTTTTAACTACAATACGTTTTTATGGGGTGTTTCGCGGTTGCGTTTGTGATATCGAGGGAAGTACGAAAGGGCAAACTGAGAAGTTAAAAAGTTGACCGTGATTAATATTTTTCAGAAATTCTATAATACATATATCCTGACTGTTTAAAGTTTTCGTTTTTAATATTATTACCATATTAGTTTAGCGATAGTTTGCAAAATATTTGTTTCATGAATACATATTCCAAGTCAAAGTTAATACTATTAAATAATTTTCTTTATAAATATTTTACGTGTATAATTCATCAAAAAAGAAGAGAAAGAAAGCGTTGATGAAAAAAAAAAGTTTTAATGCATCATTTATGAAGTAATTTGATTTAGAAAAGAATATGGTTTTATTACCTAATTTAATCATCTTAATTCGCTTAACATATCTTTGCTTTTAATTATTTTTTAAATTAATATAAAAATTCGTTTCAGCTTCTCATATAATTTTTTTTAAGTTTCAAGTCTAATTAAATATACGCACTTCAATAAACGAACTTGATGTATGGATCTGAAACGGATTATAAGATAATGTTAACTTTCGCAACACAAATACAATCGCAACTGGCGAGATTAAATAATCCGGGAGCTACTGCGGTAGCTTAACGTAAAGTGCGTCAGATTCTCACACGGAAAGTTTCGGTAGCAGAGTTTTGGATAGAGCCTAGGAAACCCCGCTGCGACATTCGTCCGAGCTCGTTGACACCCTCCTACTGTCCTACAGATATATGACTGCGAGCCCTCTAAATTTCTTTCTCTCTAGAGCATGAATCTTTCTCCCTGCTCTCTTTCTCTCTCCTTTTCTCCCTTGACACGCTGACTTTCAGTGTCCTCTTCCGAGGGTGCAAAACTTTTCAAACGTTCTCCTTAATAAGTGATTTTCAGTTCCTTACAGGCACACAAATGTCGTTGCCTAATTTTGTTGTACATATTTGTTGTTAAAAAATAAGCATGCGTATTGATTCAATATTTAATTTGTCAAGAAATCATTTCTCTTGCTTTCTTCTCCTTTTTTTCTCGGTTTCCCCTTCAGATGATTCGATGTCAATTCGCTGTCATTCGATCTATAGGGTGGCTTTAGGGTAAACGATTGCTTAAGCGCACCCGGATTACAGCCCGGATTACGTCTTTCTTAATCTCAGATTACATCGGCAGTCTTTCATTAAGCCATCAAACAAATTTTATCTTACAAAGCATAAGGAGAGCAAAGATCTTACAAACTTATTCAGATTACAGTACTTAACTTTTCTATATATAATTTAAAATAGTTTGACTTTATTTTCAATATTAAAATTAAAGAATAATAAAATATAACATTCAGAATACAGCAACCCGTTCTTTTCTCACTAATTGAATATGCGCATACTCGTGCATTTTGTAGCAGTGGGATTTTGCTGTCACGAGTAACGTTTACATCGCTACCTGAATTTACAACCGTTGAAAACGGTTCGCAATCCCTATCGTAATAGCTGTCGCGTCGAGGAAATCGCTGTCATCGAATACAAATTCTTCCGTTTTCCGCCGTCGCCGTTCATTCTTCTCGGCTTCTCCCGTCGCGATGCACGTCCAAATATCATCTGTGTCGACCGTGTCTTTCGCGCAGCAACGCACGCCGCGGGTGGGCCTGTATATGTCGGAATGTTTGCCCGCGTCATTGTTGCGCGTTCTGACACTCGATACGAATTCTCCTGACCCGGTTTTAAAAAGCATTTAGAGCCCCTCATAGCCAGTCCACCTTCCCTCCGCGACATATTCCGCTTCTACATTTTATAAGGATCACACGCACTTTCTCAGATGCATATGCGAAGAACGAGCTCACCGGGAAGCACACCCGGAGTGTCGCTGACTTTCTGATATATGGATCTCTGTGTCCATATATCAGATTGCTATGAAAACATTCTCCTACAACGCGTTTTTCAATTTGAATTTTTTCTATTTCACGCATTATAATTATTGATGATTGTTAATATTTGAAATTGAAATTATTGGCGAGGACAAAAACACGTGGCAGATATTATTTGCACCAACATTACTTTGTATCAGCATTGAGACCTAGACTTTTAGTTTGACCGGCAATATATTCACCAAGAAGATCCATTCATGCTGAACGGAAGTACGCCTCGTTCTATCTCGTCACAACGTGGTGCGGCTTTTGCACGCGTTCATATTGAGAAGTGGCATATAGAGGCAATTTGTCGCGCTTGTTAGATCCTGTATATACTTATATAGCACTTGTCAGAAGCTAGCTGTCAGTTATTGTGAACATTGCTACTTAGAACTCATTTTTAGATTCAATCATGAATAGGTATATATCAATATGTTGACATAATGCGTTGGAGTAATTCCCACTTAGGCCTCATTTAATCATCATTTAAGTGACTATTTATACGTTCATGACACTATACGATCGCATTTAGAAAGCTATTGCAAATATAAACTGAGCAAATAAATGTTTACCGGAAAGAAATAGTGGAAAACAAAAATAAATTCAATATTATTTTATGAACAAAAAGTAAGAAGTTGTAAAAGATTTAAAATATTTTAAATTTATTTAAAATTTCTTAATTAGATTAGAAATTGATATAGTGATTATGCTTTAAATTGCTAATTGTTATACACTATTGTTTTGGTATAAAAATATAATATATAATTTATATACAATTTCATATTCAATTTAAATACTATTTTTCTCTGAAATTTTACAATTATTAAAAAAAATTACATTTTTTATTTGCTTTTTGACAAGAAATTACTTTAATTTTATAACAATTTACTAATAGCCTGTAAGCAAATGTAAGTTTTCGGATATTAGGTTAATTTAAAAACCTTTTCATATCGGAAAAATAAATATATCAGAGAAATAAAACTATAAAACAGTTCAGATTAAGAAATAATTGACCAATCTTTATCCTCGACATGCTGTATACAAAAGCAATATTTTTTGATAGATATATAATTTTTATTCTGGGAATTCTCCTTGTTATAAAAATTAATAAATGTCAATAAGATTGATTAGAAATATTGATTTTCAATATGGAAAGTTACGGTATGTAAATTAATGAAATTAATCATAGTAATTTTCTTGAAGCTGTTAATAAGATTATACTTCACTTTATATAGAATCTTTTTACGCAAATATTTAGAAAAACAGCTTCTACAACTCGAATTATCTCAGGAGATACATTGCGTCATTATGTGACACCCAATTTCTCATTTAAATTCGAGCATTAATAAATCCGTAACATGAAAAGCATATTGGCTCGATTGAAAAATCACGCTGCTCACGCAGTATTCGGCTTATCATTATACGAGTCAATGGAACGGCTCGATTTCGGGTCGCTACTCTTCACCAAGAAATCATCGTCTTTTTTTTTCTTTCTCCATTATTCGTCCCATTCTTCTGAGACTGTCGGGCGTCAAAAAATGGGGGCCTTAGTGTGGGCGGGTGGCTATTCGAATCTCCAAGGAGAGATGAATGAAAGCCAGAAGTCCATTCACGGACGCACCTGACTCCGAGCGTCGAGTCGTGAGAATCGATCCGGAGATTTTTCAAGATCTCTTTCTTTCCGCGTTCTAGGCACTTCGTTTCAACATATTCGGGAATAAAGAGCGCGATGCACGACAATCTTCTTCTTGACGACGTTTCTTGTCCTTCGATTACGTTTGTGTTGTAATGCTAGATTTTAGGTACGTCGCTCTTACATCGAAAACGTGCGAAAAGATTCGTCGATCTGTTGACGCCGGATTTAATTTCAATAAATTTTATCAACTGGGTATTAATTTCTTATTAATAAAAATAACGAGCTATTGATAGTCAAATATAAAAATCACAAGAACTTTATAAAAATGTGATAAATTATAACTGTAATTAATCTGTTTTAAAACATCTTTTTTTTAATGATATTTAATATGTTATCAAAATAAATTATATTTTGTTGAATATAATGAATATTATCTAATTCAGAAATAGAAGGTTCAATTAATAGTTCAAGTATGTAAAAGTTTTAAACATATGATAAACGGAATTTTGAAAAACTTGATAAGAAATTGGATTTACTTAAGATTGATCTGAGAACCAGGAAAAGATCGTTTAAAAAAAGCGGCATTCGGCACCTGTTGCATTATTTTGTATGAATGTCCCTATCATTCTAAAAGGATATACCTGATCCGAGACAAATTAAGCACACACAACGAAAAACGTAGTAGAGCCATTGACTACCGAACTCTTTATTCTCGTACGTTCCGGAAATTTAATTCGACACGCATTAATCATTATCTGCACCATGCTGATAATCTAAGAAAGATTGATCTCGTGAGAAAATATATAATGGATCTTATTATATTTCATTCCTTAAAATCTATATAAAAAATAATTATGTAGCTATTGTTTGTTTTCAATTTCCTAAAAAGTTTCTGAAAAAATTATTTAATATTTTAACTCGATATTTTAAACAATAATTTTCTTATGTAATAATCATATTTATCATCGTTAATTGAAATTAGAAGCAACGGAGATATAATTAAAGTTTTATATAAATTTTTAAAATATTTTTTAATTTAACTTTGTATTAATGTCTTTTTCTTTATTTTTTAGTTCAGAAGAAATTTGAAAAAAAAATTTTAGCATTCACCATTGACTCAATACAGAGATATTAGTGCTATTATTATATATAATTTTATAGAGATGATGCAATGTTAAATTTCAAATGAAAAGCGGAGAAATATATAAAAAAGTTTTGATATTCTCTTATAAAATTAATCTTTTTTATTCGTTATTTTTCTTGTCACATAATGTCTGTTTATCTGCCAATATCTGTTTACTTGTCAAAGTCCTCTTCAACTTTGTGTTCTTCTAGTTTCTCAGATAAGTCTGTGAGAAGTTTCTTCTTCTTATCGTTCCTGGGTCGCCAGGGTCGCGGTGCCCGGAACTCCAGATCAATTTTCTGCTTTTTATCACTGCTATCACAGTACTTCCTGATTCTCAGTAAGAATATGTTCGGATTCTCTTCCAGATCAATCACTCTTTTCTTTTTCGATCTTCTATCTTCACTACCTTCTTTTACATTCGGATACAATGTGAGAGTACGACATCCGGTCTCCTCTTGATCGCAAATTTTCTTCATCGATGATGTATCTTCCCGAGAAGTACGACAAAGTTCCAAACTTCCCTTGGCCATGTCAAATGTGATGCCGTCATCGCATCTTTTTAAGCTCGATGTAGATTCTTTTACATCTGTCTGGTTGACGCATTCGCACGGAGGATCGTACTCTTCTTTAATCTGCTCCTTGTGCGTCCTGATGATGACGCGATTGTCATTGATGATAGCTTCGATCTCTTTGTACGGCTGTCCCTTCCTAACGATCTCGGATACAATTTTGTCAGTCGAAGCTTTTTCCATGTCTGACATTTCGGATTTTTTCTTCAACTTCGATTTGCTTCCGCTTTTTGAAAATTGCTTACTCGTGCTATCTTTTGGCATGCAAGTTGTCGCACTTATCGGCCTTCGTGAAGGAGTTTTGGACGTATTCATAGTGCAATAATTGGAACATGTAAAGGAATTGATAATAAGTATGCGTGTCCTCGTGATTGATATGAAACAGATGGACGAAAGCAGTAAGGTGAACAGGGTACTTGCAATCCGACTGATTCAGCGATCAATGAAGGTTTCTTCAATATAGGACAACCGCAGTTGTAAGTTGCCGCAATCATCTTTGCTATTTCTGTTTCATTGTGAAATAATTGAGCTTGTCGGATTACATAATGATAAATTTTGAATAAATTTAGATCGGGTTATATCGGAATGATGACATGATAATGATTCACTGAAAACAGCATGAATCTATGATATGAATTTGTTTTATGAGGCACACTGAATATAGTTTAAAGAATCGATTTTAGCAAACTACATAAATTACATAACCACATCTTTGAAAATGGGACGTTAATAAATAGATATGTTTTGCCTTCAATAAAGATTATTTCCCGTAAATTTTAAATTACAAGTGTGAAAATGCAATCTTCTAACGATAAAGTAAATAAAACAAAAGTAAAAAATACAAAAACAGTTTTTTGTTCAATTAAAGACAGAGGTTTTGATTGAAATAGCATTCAAGATTTTAGTCCTTGCTGTTTAGAATTTGATGCTTACAATGTGATACATAACATTTTTCCAATAAAAAATGCAAATTTTTATATTATAAGATCTTTACAACTCTAAAACATTTTTACAAGATGTGTGCCTTTGTCCTCCAATGTCTCGTCTGTCGTCTTCGTCATCAATACTCGCCAAAGATGCCTGCTCAAAATATTATCAAGAGATTGGAGCAGAGATGATTAGCAACCAGCTAATCATTAGATTAGAAAAAGATAAAAACAAACAAAAAATGAAACGAGAAGAATGGGATCCACCTTGTGATTGCGTCGAAATTCAAAGACCAACAAGTAAAAGAGGTCCCAAAATAATCAATGCAAATTATGACGATCGCATTGTATTTCGTGTCCACTCGGCATCTGAAGAATCTTCTTACAAGTCACAAACAATCGCCTACAAGGTTTGTCTCTTTAAATGTGTGTTACTTTAAATTTTAAAAAATTGATAATTTGTCATTTACACATTTGAATAAAAAACAGATAAATGTTTCAATTCGTATATTGCGATTAGAAGAAACTGCTAAATTGTTGAACATTTTATTTTGTATATAAACTTTTAAATCTTTTCTATATAAAATTTTTATTAACTAAGAGAAAATTCATAGTAAAAAATAGAATTAAAGCTGAGAGATAAAAAAGTGTAAAAATATTTTTTAATTATTAATTTTGATTCTTTCTCTGAAAAAAATGCAAATCAAATTGCTGTAGATGAGATCGGGCACAGACGAACAGGATAGTCAATGCAAGACCATCACGGTTTATCCGCAATTTACCACAGGATCTCAAGAAGTGTACAGTGATCACATAACAGAGGGCAATCAGAATATCTTTTTACTAAGAATAAAAAAGAAAGCGGAATATTCTGAACAAAAAAATAGAAACGTTGAACTCGAACTAAGAACAGCTAAACCACCAACGCCACTACCTGCACCTGCGTCCACACCTGTATCAGCAGTTGCATCATCGCAACCTATTTCCGATCTAATTGTAGAAGATGTAATTAAACCGCAAATACCGGAGGAAGTTACAAAACAACCAGCAAAAGTGTTAAAAAAGAAAAAACACAAAAGAAAAGAAAATAATTGACAGCTATTAATAATATTATCAAGTATCTATCTTACTCTTGTCATATCATACATAATTTAAATTTCAAATCTAATGTAATTATATCAAATTATTTTATAACTTATAAGTCTTGAACAAAAAAAAAACATTAACAAATAGAATCATTAATAATTTCAATATGCATTAATAATTTTCTGTATTTTATATTTAATTTTAATTTTATAAATTGCACATTTAATTTTATAAATATATATCTTTTCTTTTCAGTTTATTCAATATTTATCTAAAAAATACATTTATCTTATATTATTTACATAAGAAGATAATTGTAATATCAGTTATTAAAACAAATTGAGAATCAGCATAACTCGAAAATTTTCCAGGACTTTAAAGAGCATGATTATCACGAATCTGAATAAGATTTATCGGTAGCCGCGTCGATGACATTCGTAAAAAGGACTAGAATTTCGTCAATGACTATGTAAATGAAATCCTCAATAAAATATATGTCGTATGCCGGATAGGCGTGAATATATAAAGGCGTGCGAAATTCAATGTGCGCTGGGTTCATTCATCGTTTCCAACCAACCGACCGTGCAAAATTGTTTTGTTACGGTTCGCCAGATGAACCTCTCATTCGGGACTACTTCCTCGTGACTCCTTTTCTCGTACAAAATCTCAATGGGCCTTACGACGATCGATAGTATAGCGTGTCTCTAGAGACCGCATTGTTGGATCCTGCAGTATTATCGTAATTGCTGCTAACTCCTTCGAGTCTTTGTATCGGTGACGGTAAGCGGCCAACTTGCTCATCGAAGAATAGAGAAGGCTACCGTGACTTGTCAGATGTCGAAATTCAAAATCATGTAAGCTTTACGTTTGTAATCTAGGTCAATTGAAAATATAAGCCAAAGCGCATATGCGAAAAATGATATTTGTACAAGTTTTTGCGTATAAAGAAAAATGTATTATTGTATATATCTTATTCATACGTTGAGTATCATTTTTATTTGGAAAAGAATTCGTTAAATCGATCGTCGGACAAGAATACGATACGGATGATTCTTCATTGAGTATAATTGACGCTGCATCGTTTTATAAGTGGTTTTGAGGACGCTTGAAAAATATCCAACTGTCCCCATATTTCTTCGGTCACGAGGACAGTCACGAGGATTTTCTCGAGGTCGTCACAGTCGGCGAATCACGAATATCCCGCGAACGTCGTCCGCGATGTTCTATGATTCAACGTATAAGGTTGAATGCACAAAGAAAGGAGGATAAATGTCGCGATTATCGGTGCGTAGGGGAAGCGTAAAGACCCACAATACGTAGACGCAGGGGTAAGAAAAAGCATGGGCAGTTTCGTGAATGGCGTGGGAGTTCATAAAGGTGTCGTTCGCGTTCTGTGTGGTCGCGCGTTTAAGAACGATGACAATGAATGCCGGCCAATAAATTAGGACGCCACGAAGAATGAACACGCTCTCGATACACGCGGGAAAACAGCGTGACGAGCAGCGGTGAGTGAAAAGCTACTCGGTTTTCCGGACTAAAGAGAAGCTTCTGCGGTGCTGATGAATGGAGCGACAAGTGACCGCGATATTATTATACGTGGGACGGCTCTCGAGAGCTAAGGAAAAGATCTCGACGCGCGAGATCGGGCCCGTTTTCGGGATTAAAGAGCGGCGATAATTCACGAACCACTTGGAGGAAGCGTAAAATCGAGATTTTTTCGCACGATTCGACGTGAATGAAATTGAAAATATATAAAGACGCATCTTGCAGCGTATCTTAATTAAAGAGAATTTTCGTGTTAGAAATATTTCTTGCTCCTCCATCTAAAACTATTATCAACGACGATGTGTTTTCTTCTTTAAATTTCGTGATTAATCTTTAGTCTGATATTAAAGCTTCGCGAGCTTGCTCGTTTTTTCGCATTAATGGCCATTAATTCGCATGCACTAATTGTCGCCAACAGCGAAGGAATAAATAAATCAGCGAACGCGTATTCGCCACAGGTGGTGACGATCGTTTAGGGTGGTCCGTCGATTCCTCGTATTGTCATATCGAGAACCGCAACCGAACTTGCTTCGTATCCGCAAACGAAAGATAGGGGAAGAAAAGCCGTAATATCATCATTATATTACGTCACACAGATGCGCGGATCGAGGGATCTCGAGACCAGCGTTTTTATATTGCGGTTACGGCATCATTGTGCGTCCTGGTGTTCACAAAAGGTCCTTGGAGGACTCCCGTCGAGAGAAGGTCTACGGCATAGCGGGGTTGCTGATTGGCTGATTCCCCTGTCAACAGCTATGGTAATCTGTACGCATTTCCTGCATATCTTCCCTTTCCGATCCCTAATCGTCACCTGCCGCCGACTCCGCAAACGAGACGTTTTTGATGAATTAAAAGAATATATATCGCATAAATTTCAAGAGCATCACTGAAATTTTTGTACAATGTACTACCATAAATAAATTATATAAAAGTTCGAATACATATATAAAAATTGTTTCAAGAAGAGGAAGAAATTTTTATTCAAATTTAATTTAATTATTTCTTCGTACTTTCAAAAATATTAAATGATTTACAAAGTATAGATACAGCTAGACTAGAAAATAAAAATGATCTCTATATATAGAGATCAGAGATTTAAATTTTAATTCATTCTGAATATTGTTATATATATTGACAATGGCGAAATATCGAATTTAATATCGAACTGGCATAATGGTCGTCATAATATTAAAAGTGAATATGTATCAATTTGTCTGGTTTTTCGTATAAAATTTTGGAAAAAAATTGCAGTAGTAGTTAAGTCTGACGAAAAGGAATCGCGGACAATCAACTTTTCCTTCAATCGAAAAAACGAGGGAAGATGTTGGCGAATCATGCTGGAACCACTAATAGTTTTGACGGTGCTGAATTGCATTTTAATGTTCAGTTCCACAGTCACGACCTGCACATTGTTGTAACAATCTATTTTGACTTATTTTCCGATTTAAATTTAAAACAATTAAAATAATAATAAAATTCTCTGTATTATGTAAGTAATAATTATACTATCGCACTAATAATTTTGCATATTAGATGGCAATATCAGGGACACCATTGTTGCGCCAGGAAAACTGCTCGATCAAAAGCTGATTTGAAAAGATCGAGAGTTTTACGAACTACTAAAAAGCCAGGAAAATCAGATTTTGACGGCTATGGTGACGTTAAGATTGTCGGCAATTCCAACAAAAACGATAGCCGCGAGTACAAAAATAAAAGGAAGGAACGATCTAAGAAGAATTTGAGATATTTATCAGAATATCAGAAGAAAAATGGAGAGAAAATGTTACTCCCGTGATTAGATTTTTTATATTATTTTTTCCTCAATTTCCCTTTGTTCTTTATTTTATTATTAATATTATTATGCGTCATTTTATTAAATTTGTATTTTAGAGACGGACTGAAAGTAAGAAAGTTCGACGAAAAATCGAAAATGTCAGAAGCTTCTCAAACAATAAATGATACGAAATCGACGGTTGTAATGGAGTTTTCAACAGTCCAAAAAGTTGTGCAGATTGTTGACAACGATTCTGACGTTAATTCAATGCGACCTCCTTTCAAAGATATTGTTATCCAGAAAGATACAACAAATAGAAAACGTGATTATAACGTTGAACCTAGTTTCGAGAGTAATCTAGCCACTGACGAAAAACCTTAACAATTTATGAACAAGTTAATAAAATTAATGATATATAATATTCGACGAAATGAATATATAATATTCGGCATATTTGTTTTATTTATTAACACGTATATATTTTTATTCGAATACTTGCAATATGAATAAATTTTTCCTAATAAACGTTAGAATATTTTCAAAGATGTAGTGTATGTATTTCTATGCACTTAACAGTGTTATTATTGATTTCATTAAACATATTCCCTATTATTATTCAATATTTCCATTTGATTTGCACATTTCAAAATTATTTTCGATTCTTGAGAACTAATTAATATATCTCAAGATTTTTTACAGACATATTCACTTTTGTCTGCTTCCAAAATTGTGTTGCTATTCTTTTTGCTTAGAGATCTGTCCGACTTGCTGTAACTATTCGAATGTTTGACCGGTCTTTTATATATTGGCGAAATTTTCCTATCCTTTTTTAAGCATCGACATGCATTTCGACGTTCTCCTAATGCTCGATCGCACTTTTTTTCTCGGGAACGATGTTCTCGTCGATCTTCATGATCACGTTCAAAGCACGAACAATCATTGAATCGTCGTGCACGAACTAAATCGGCTTTCACGCATCTTGAAAAATCACGCGTATGTGCTTTCTGGTGTTTCAGATTCGACTTTTTGCGTATGCAACACTCGCTCGAATCCACTTTCTTAAGATTTTTCGAGAATCTTGGAAAACTAAAAGGGAAAAGAAAACTAATTTGATCAAAAAAGTACACGGAATATGCCTTAGCATATTCCTATAGATCAGTTTGCGATCGACTGACTGTTACGAAGTCGTACCATACCGAAAAGAGAATGCACCAGATACATGTTATGCAGGCGCTGTTGCATATGGTAATGCAGTCCACCATTTCGCAAGTCGACAGAAACTTTACATTTTGTAATTTTCAGAACGATGTTCACGATTTCATGTTCTGACAGCTGAATCCAATTTTTCTAGATATAATGATGGAATTTTCAACGCAATTATTAATAATGACACTGCTATAAATTGCTAAAAGTATAACAACGTAATAGTAACACGTGAAGTATAGAAAGAATGATCGGTCATTATGGCATCCATCAGCTGTCAACTGCAATGAATTACAAAATAAACGCCATTTGCAACCGAGATCATGAAATCACATCTTTCGTCAGTCGAATGTTATATGCCAAATCGTTATATTTTTCAATTATTGAGTCTCAATTAAATGATCGAGTTATGGACCTGTGTGGCACTTATGTATTCAAAATGTCAGTTTAAGTTGCATTACATCTTAATTTTATTCATTTTATATCTCTTTGTGAATTAACAGCCACTTTGATTGAGTATTCCGCAAACTTTAGCAGCGTTCAAAGTACAAGTGTGTTTATACTTTGACCGCAAACAAGTCCATCATAAAATAAGCCGAAATTTTTCGTATAAAAAAAATGTCTATGTGTCTTTATATTTATCTTGGTAATATCGTTAGTATATAATCAATATTTAATCTTTCAAATTTAGTCAAGGATATATGTAAAAGTGTATAATTATTTTTTAACAGTTTATTTTAACAATTCTGACTATATTAATTATTATAAAATATTAATTAATTAATAAAAAAATTAATACTAATATGGGTATATATCAATAAGTCAAAATTATAGATTTAAATATTAAGCTAAGATATAAAGTCTTTTAAATTTCAAGTATCTTTGTAAATCTGCGAGTTTTCTGATAATTGTATAATGGAAACATCGTTTAAGATATATCAAGTAAATTATACATTTTATACGTTTGATAAATATTGCACAAGCAATATGCATTCACCGTTATATTTTCATATTGTAATTTTACGATTGTTCGAATAGGTTAATATACGGTTTTTAATATTCTTTCGGAAACTCTCTACTTGCATATACCATAAGTCAAACAATTTTCGCAATCGAATGCACGGTGCATTGATTACCTTAATCACAAGTTATGCTACCAAACACGGACAGCTTAGAAATATGATGTAAATAAATAATTGTTAAATAATTAACGACTATCATTTTGGCCTACCTATTTTACGGGCCATTTTATAAAAAAATAGTGATAATAAATTTTAATATTTTATCGTTTTCAACCAATACATTCATATTCGCATTTACGATGTATTTTATTATAGAAACATCAATGACGTAAAATTATGTTAGATAAGATTGAATTATGCATAATTGGATTATATAAAGCAAAAAGCATATTTGATTTTGAAAAATACAGGAGAATTATCTAAAAATATCTAAAAGAGAGAAAAAGAGAGAATAAAGATCAAAAGAAAGTTTACAGATTAATTGTACTGACTCATCCAAATTAATTTATATTTTTAAACATGAGGCTGTTAGTTTTGTACGTGATGTAGAGACAAATTTTTTGAGATGACTTCTTTTTAAGACTGAAAACTCAACAATAATTTCATAATATACACGCTAAGTAAAGGTTTTTGGCTTTATTTCAGCGGATTTTGATCTACATAATTACGAAAGGGAAATAAAAAAATGCATTGATTTTGATAAAATAAAAAATTTATGTAACAAAATAAGAATTATTTTTTATTAGATCGCGCTTTTATTTCTCGTGCGATTCTCCTACAACTCGCTACTTTCGCGCGAGATCAATGATCGAAATTGAGCAATCATTATTGCAATCTGGTCACGTCAGTCAAGTTTCGTTATGAAAACAATGAGACGAATAGTCTGCATTCTCTACTTAAGTTCACGCACGTGTTGAATCATATATGTGTATGTGTGCACGTGGACATTCTTTCTATGTATGCAGCTATGTTATATACGGTACCTATATGGTGGGGAACTTAAAGTACTGCTCAAAGAAGAGAGGAATCGCTCTGCTTCGAACAGATAAAAATCCTGAACGCCAGAAACGGTGGAAGGTACTTCTTTACTCATCAAGCTGGACTGTACAGCAACGCGTGGAATTTTCACGTACACCACATTTTGGCTTTATTATCAACTTGTGTACAAGTAAGTGTCGTAATACGCTAAAGATTGATCTTCGAATTGCATCTTTTTCAATTCGTAAGTGATTGCAAACCACGACTCGACTCATTGGACTCGCCAATAAATAGAAAATTATAATATAAAGTATGCTCTTATTTTTATTTCAATTTTAATAAAATTAATTTTATTTTAGAGAAAATATATTTTATAAAAATCTGAATATATTTTACAGAAAACTATTAAATATTTCAATTTAGCCAAATTAATTTTATAGAGAGATATGAGTAGATAAAAAAACTTATTTTCTCAAATAGTTTTATTCACTTATATTAATAATGACTTATATAAAATATGTCTGTAAACTATAATTTAATGGATTTTATATACAAAAAAGTCGATTCTATATTCATCATTAAAAAGAACGGTTTTTTTTTAATTTTTCATAGTTTTATTTTCTGATTATTTCTTACCTAATTATATATAATTGCTAATTTTTCCGAAACTGTTTTTGATCATTTTTTTTCTGCAATGTGACATTTCTGCATTTACTTAATGATTTTTATCAGTTTAAGAATAATGTTATTTGTGTTATGTG